ACACGTGGTAAAACATATGCTTTACTGTATGCTGTGAGAGCAGCCTTAAACTTTTAGCTAGAGAATTTACATGGGGCAGAGATCGGGGCTAACAAGTACAGGTCAGGTAATTGTTATGTAATGAAACAACACACCTCAAAAACGTATTTAAAGGTCAGGTTTAAATATCTAAACTACTGTTCTATTACTTCTGAATCCAAAGACAAGTCCGAGAACAACTACAGCAACTCTAACAACCACCACAACTCCTCCAACTACAACTCCGGGCGCTATGACAACCCAGGCCGATGCGACAACCCAGGCCGCTACAACTTTAGCAACTACAGCAGCTCCAACAACTAATCTGGAAACCACAACTGCACCTGCTACTATGAATATCGAAGGATCTGGAGAAATGGCTACAACTAGAAGAGGAGATAATTGACCTACCAACAAGCTACTTGCCATGATGTGCAGCAATATAAGTTTCACATTACTCTAGGCTTGTATGACATTTAGATATCTACAGTAAAATCACATTTAAACTAAAAATTGCATCACATGTTTTATAACTGGAAATATGTGTGTGAATTTAATAAAGCATTCTACAGAAAATGTCCATGAATGTTCATTGGTTAGCTACAAATAATAATCCCTGTTGTAATCTATATTACCAGTCTCATGGCATTATGCTAGGTTACTGAAGTAAAAACTGTTCCCATAAGGTAATAAGGACAATTTAAAAGTAGGGATGCACCAATACTAGTATCGATATTGGTGCCGATTCCGAGTATTTGGGCAAGTACTCGCCCAACATCCTCCGATGCCTAGAACGAGTACTTCCGGTATCAGAAAGCAGGGCGTTATTTCATTACACGGCGTCTGGCTTCCTGATTGGCCGCCCAGAAGGCTCTGGCTGGGTACCGGAGGAAGGCCGCATTCTCGCTGGAGAGGCCCCGGGGGTGACAGGCTGCACATACTAAGACAAAAAGGGACTTTCTTGTTAATTGGGAAGCCGGGTGGCGAGTCATTACACGCCACCTGGCTTCCTGAATGGGACTTTCGTTACTCGGCGAGTACCAAAAAAAAAAATTATCGGTGCTCGTACTCGGTACCAAAATACCAGTATCGGTGCATCCCCATTTAAAAGTATGTACAAGCATATGAGAAGAATAAATGTAATAAAACTTACTACCATTACCCAGTTTTACAATTTTCAAGTAACCAGACTGGATACATATGCAATGAGGTGAGCTGGGCAGTTCAGGCAGCAATCTGAATTGGGCAGCAAGAGGCCAGTGTTGCCTCTTAGCTGCTCAGTTCTCCAAGGCAGTAGTACAGCGTCTCATTTAAGGTATATAACTTCTGACGACTGTGTTAATACCTTTCAAACATGTCACATTGTACAGCAACAATTCACAGCCATAGACTCCCACCAGGATAATGCTGGATATCCTGTTATAGGGTGGCAAATCACTCCCCTCCTCCCTGCTCCTGAGCGGAGAGAGATGGACCCAACTGTTAGGAAACATAAAGACTGTATAAGTGCATGGGCAAAAATGTAAAGAAATAATTTGCTTTGAAATGTACAGTAATGTGCAAAAGTTTTAGGTACGCGTGAAAAAATGCTGTAAAGTAAGAATGCTTTCAGATATAAAAGTGTTAATTACTTTCTATTTTATTAATTGATACAAATAAACCATTGACAAGAAGAGAAATCCAAATCAAGTCAATATTTGGTGTGACCACCCTTTACCTTCAAAAAAGCATCAAATCTCCTAGGTACACTTGCACACAGTTTTTGAAGGAACTCGGCAGGTAGGTTGTTTCAAACATCTTGGAGAACTAACCACAGATCTTCTGTGGTTGTCAGCTGCCTCAAATCCTTCTGTCTCTTCATGTAATCCCAGACAGACTTGATATATGGATCTGGTCAGTGGAGAGTGGATCCAGACCCCCCATGCAGATGTGCAGCAGATCACATCTGATAGTGATCCAATGCTGGCTGCAATTACCCAGAAATAGATTGCCATAACAATGATTTCTTGCAGCAGGGAGATGCTGGAGAGAGCTCTGTCCGGCATGCATACTCAGAGGAAATGCAGTGAAGTCACTATAGTCCCGATGTAAACACCATGAAGAATCATAGTGTTTACTTTTACAGTGCGCTTCTATGGAGTGAGCTGTAGAAGCCCAGGATTTGATCCGGGGCTCAGCAGAGGACCCTGGCTGTCATAGAAAGACGGAGGTTTCAGCCTACATGCACACAGGAGCCGCTGAGACCAGCCGCCATTTTAAAATGTTGCCGGGACAAACAGCCACAATATTAGTGCTTTTTTAAAATGGTGGCTGGGACTTAAAGTGGAACTTTACACATATCCAAGTACTGAGTACATATGCATGCTTATACTTTTCAGAGGTCTGATATTGTTCTATGTACAATCCTTGTTTTATTGATTGCTATTAATATATAATATTATATTAATAATATTAATTATTAATAATAATAAATAATATTAATTATATAGAATATTAATATTCTAATTTTCTGAGATTGTGGATTTGGGGTTTTCATGAGCTGTAAGCCATAATCATCACCATTATGACAAATCACAGCTTGAACTATCTTGCTTTGCATCTAATGAGTCTCTCTCATATATTAGTTTCACCTTTTAAGTTGCATTAGTGAAATAAATGAACTTTTGCACGATATTCTAATTATTCGAGTTTCACCTGTACATCATAGATGGGAGGGATGTATTGCCACAGAAAAACCTGGTGCAATAACCCAAAATGACCACAAGATGTCAGTATAATAACCAGGTATACAATAACAAAGATAATGGCTGAAGGAAAATTAACTATGTGATTCTCATTTGCACATTAATACGAATATTAACTATGAATATGAATTGTGTGATATTTTTATAACGGTGTAACAGCACATGCCGGCTTTGTATTGTTTGCATACCTTATTTCTCTTTTCCTCCCCAGTATTCTGACAGTGGCCATGTTTACTAAGGGTGGGTTACTTGCTCTATTATAACTTCCTGGATTTCTGGCACATGTTACCATGCACATCATCTCAGGGAAGAAAATGCTTTTCCCTCTTCTAAGATTACAGATGAGATTTCCCAGCAATGCTCTGCTGATGACAAGGTAATCCCAGTGTGTATGGCTTTGGCAAACTGAAGTCATTTTGCCCTATCACAGCAAAAAGTGAATGCTCTGCAAGTGTGTTTCAAAATCACAGCATTTTACACCTGACATGTCTATGTAATTATTAATCATTTTACATAAGAGGATGCATTGGTATAATTAGATTTTTGAGTGTAAAGGTCCGCTTTAAGCAGTTAAAGAAATAAAACATCTCTGCAATACATTTGTATTTCCTAAAGTGTTTGCATGTTGGTGCATTTTAAAACCGAGTAAAAGGGAGCACAAAATTATTCCAGCTGCCTGCATTAGGTCCATTCATTTCCACACTAGCAGCCCTCCCTGCTTCAGCATCTGAAGCATTATTTTTATTCAGGGATCTAAGCAGCTCTCCATTTGAAACCTTATATACAGTAAACTCCCCATTATATGGCAAATCGGCACTCTCAAGCAACCAGCAAAAAAAAAAAAATCAAGGACATAATATGACCTCGATTGTTTTTTCACTGGTGGCTTGATGCACACTAAAAAATGTTGTTGGCAACTAAATTTTTTTTGGTTGCTAATGCAATTCTTTGTGGAATCTAGCCGGCAGCAAGATGTAAACAATCGGCAGCAGAATGCAAACGATGGGGGAGCAAAAGCCAGCCTGCTATTGCAATTTGTAGTAGCCAATAGCAGGCTGGCTATTGTATCCACTCACTGAGCAGAGGAGAGGACCTGAGAGAGAACTTTCTCTCAAAGTAATCGCTTCTCTGCTCAGTGGGCGGGATTTCAATAGCCAGCCTGCTATTGTAATTTATTGGCTGAGGAAGCTAGGCGGAAAGTGAATGGGGCTGTGGTGTGGATAGGGGGGGGGCGGTGCTTGCTTCAGAGTAACTATTAACTCACAATCAACCAGAAACTACAGTTATCCGTCACCTACTGATCCCCGTGGGGGATAACTGGGACTTTACTATAAATGTGTTCATTTAGACTACAACTCTTCCTTACGGTCCCGTTTTCACTAATAAACTGAAAACAACTAGTCAATACTGATGAACTCACACGATTACCTTCTTGCATCTTTTCTTTTAGGTTTCTCCACTGCTTTCTGTTTTTAGCCACAAAACTAGAAAGAACTCTTAAGGTGTTTTTTTAATGGACCATATGCATCTGTATACAAGTTATATACAACTATGAAATCTCGGCAGTATTTTTGCGATTGTAGTCATGTGAATTCAATTACTAACAAGTCTAACCATACACCAAATACTCTCTTTCCGATGTCATGCCCAGTAGGTGTTACATCTACAGTGAAATACTGTGAGACATCAGGTTAAATACACATTAGAAAAGTACCCACAGCTTGGTATGTGGATGTGTGGGATTATGTGGAGTATGTCATTCGTTTCTAGGGCAGATGAATGGAGGAAGACCTGGTTAAAATAAGATTTCAGCACAGGGGTGACCAGGCAGGTGCATGCAAAAGATATCCCACTTTTAGCTAGTATGTTCTTTGGTTATCTTCTACAACTCCCCCGTTTTGAAAAGATCTGCTTTAAAGTCTTGGGCTGGCTTGCACAGTTTTGGACGGTTTCCCATCAGCCTTCAATCAGCCATCCAGTTTTATCTCATTTCCAGTTTGATTTCCACTGCAGTTTAGACCATGTGGCCACTCAATGTGGTAAAACCACTACAATACTAGTCAAAAGACATTTTAAATTTATTTCCATGCGAATTGTGACCACTTGGCTGCTTAAAACTTGGAAATCATTGACGCCGCAAATATCAAATGTATTAATATCGAGGCTCATTTTTCCAATTCTGACTGCAGTACATTTTTTTAAATCACAAGGGGGAAAATACAAAGAAACTGCAAGGCCAAAAGTGGTAAGTAAATGCACTGTTTTATTTGTAAAACATGAAATTAATGTAATTCATATTTTTCACTCCTTTAAAATGTCGATCTGTTAATAATTTTCTATGGCTCAATTTAAGCCAATAAATTATATAATTTGTCTTCTCTTTCATAGCAAAGTAAACCACTGAAGAAAACATCATAAATGGGGTATCTGTGTTTCCTAACCTTCTGTCCACTTAAAAAAAAAAAAAATGCCTGGCGTAAATAAAAAGAAATGAGAATTTAGCGTTGCTACAAACACTGATTCCTCCACCATTGCAACAGAAGAGGACATTGCCTTAACAGATGAATAACGCAACTGTTGCAGGAGTGAAGGCATTAAACATCACATCTCATGTCTTCTACACTCATTCACATAATCTAAAGAGAAAAGGAACTGAGGAGTTTTAACTTAGAATCCTCAATGTTCTCTTCTGTCTCCAGATCCAGAAGAGAACATAGAGTTTGGCTATGAGGAACACAGTTCTATTTTAATGCCACAGTGTTCCTTCATGCAGCGAGATGAACTGGCTGCATCTGGAGAGCTAAACAGGCAGAGATATTTGCACAAGCACTGAAGATCTGGCATTGCACAGCAATGTTTTTCCCTTAAGAAAACAGGGAGCACCACCAAGGTGCTGAAATAACACTGCCTTAATAATAAATGACAACATATACAAACCACTTTCCTAACAACTGCCCTGTTTTTCTCGAATTTACTTAACTGTATAAGCGTATGGCAACTGCGCTAACCTCTAAAGATCTGCCATTTGCATACCCTCTCGCATGACCGCTCTACAGGCTGAATTAGGGAAATTACTAGAGATTTCACTCTTCAGGAAAATGACAACTAGGTGTTTACACAACGCAAGCCTCTACATGTCATCTTCCCTGCCATCGTCTTCATCCAGATCATCTTCATCAGCGGCATCCCCGGACTCTAAGTCATCATCATCTTCCACCTGGTGGGAAGGCAGAAAATAGTTTAATATTCATTGTTAACCTAATTGGATAAACCCAGCTTGCCCAAACAGCTGAAATGCGTGCAATATACAGTAAAGAGAGTGTAAAGATAGCTGTGCTATATGCTAGTTTATAAACACAGATTCCATCTCTGGAGACTCCTTTCTCCATCCCATCAGCACTGACATAGAAAAGCATTCAGATTGTAAGCCAGAGCCTGTCTTTCTAGCCAACCTTTTAAACTGGAGCCCGTACACAACAGAGCCCTCAAACAAATGACAGTGACTATAGTCCTGCACTAGTTTGGGTACAGCAAGTAGTCACAACATCCACAAAATACCTGGCTGCTTGCCCAAATCTTTTTAACATCAGCACCCTTAAAAACCTGTAGGTTACAACTGCTACTATGTATGTGGGCTGATTGGCGTGTTTTTTTTTTTTTAAGTCATGCATCTCCTCTTAGGGTACCTATAGTGGATTCCTGGTTATTGAAAGTTTTGGAGTACTGTTATTTTTTGTAATAATTGCACTAACAGTTCTTTTTTTCTGGAAAAGCTTTTGCAACATTTAGTCTCTTCCTTAGGTCAAAGCAGTACTGGCATTTTAAAGAAATAAAATGTATGCAAGCCCAACAAAAATGTACTTCTATTATTTGGTCCCTTTTGTTCTGTTAAATAGACCGCTGAAAGCGTTTTGTTGTATCTTTTCCATAATTTACATTAAAATTTTTTTTTTTTTTATTGTGGCAAAAATCAGTTATGTGTTTTGCGCACTCTGCTTTTGTTATCTCAAACAGTAATCAGCCCTCCTAGCTTTTCCCTTGGACTACAAAACTCCTCTTCCCTATACTGTGTAAATAAGGACAAGGGGAGGTATTCTGTAGCTCAGCAAAAGTCATCTGGGCACAGCTGGAACCATTTCTTGCAATTTTAGTCTAGCATGGGCATTATGTTTTAAGAAAGTTAGGAGCAGAGTGCATTTCGGTCATGATCAAGATATATTTTTGTGCAATTGCAGGGTCTATCAAGGGATAAAACATGGAGAAAATAGGATTTTAATACTTAAAGGACTCCAAGAAATGGATTTTATGTTGAGGGATGCAGGAAGGCTTTAACCTTTGGTTATAATGCTGCCTACAGGCGGATTGGACACTAGCAAATAAAAAAACTGCACACCAGCCCAGGATAACCCCTCCTACTACCAGCATGCCTCAGTTTTGTGGCAAAGCAATGCGTCCTTTGAGGGGACCTTCACGATGTCCAAAAGCAGAAAGACTGAGGGTGCGCAACACAGCAAATGTTAACAGGCCTAAGGATAACAAGAGACGCCTGTAGGACTTTACACCCGAAGCTGGCATTAGATGAGGCTGCAACATCGACCTGTTAGAACTTAGAAAACTTGTGAACAGAAGACCAGGTGGCAGCCTTGCAAATCTGGGAATCAATTGCATTTGACCGAAAAGCCAAAGAAACACTGACAGATGTAGTAAAGTGCCCCACAATCCTAAGTATCCCACAATGGAGATGCCATGAGAGCACAACAGGGCTAATATTGAAGTCAGCACCTTGAATAATAAAGGGAGAGTCATGAACTGGTAGTGTATAGGCCCTACAGCAAAGCGTGCCCTTGCCACCAGTAGCGTTCTTGATAATAGTATCAAGAGTAAATCTGAAAGGAAGTTCTTACACGCAGGTTCCGCATTCCAGCGTGTGTATAAACTCAAGACTCATGCATGAGATAAATTGGGAAACCTCCAGCAGACTGTCATGAATTTTCCTACAGCTTTTCCTACAGCCATTTGCGCCACACGCTCTGCAATCAAAGGATCAACCGCAACAGTGGTGAAATCTTTTAAAGGAGAACTATGGGGTAAGTGTTATTCCCCATAGTTCTCTTAAGGGTCAGGGGATGACAGGGGATGATATACTAGCGACCTCCCGTGACCCAAAGCTCAGTATATCGCGAGCTACAGTATTACTGAGACCACCGCAGCCGGGACGGATCCCGACAAGGGTGTCTGTAAATAACTAAGGTAATTGTATGCTTACTGTGTCCCCAATTATGAATGAACAGGAAGTGCTCTACGTCACTTCCTATTCATTCATGATTGTGGACATAGTAACTCATACTATCTCCATAGTTATTGAATGGATAGGAGCAGTCAGTATAGAGGCTTCCTGTTTATTCATAAGAGGGGCTGCAGAAATTCATCACCTTTCAACATCTCGTGGAGTCACGAGGCGGCCCAACAAAGTCATCTCGTGGCCCAACAAAGTACTGATGGGGTGGTCATAATAATCTGGCCACTCAGTGTATATATACACACACAGACACACACACACAAAACACACACACAGTATATATCAATCAACGTAATCACTGATGTTTATTATCACCCACAGCTGGCAATGATACATGACAAAGGAGACAGAAATAAACAGGGAACACTTTTGTACCTGCTCTCCAAGTTCTTTTAGCTTCTTCTTTAGAGAAAATATTTTTTGGTCTTGATCAGCCAAGAGGATCAGAAGATCATCCTGTTCCTTCTTAGACTCAGAGACCTCCTGTGTCAGCTTAAGTTTTTCATCTTGTAAAATGGCTGCTGTGCTGCGAGCAGAGTCTAGTTCCTGTTTTAAAGAGGCTCTCTCTTCAGATGCAGCTTTCAGTTCTTCCTAAAAACATTAAAGCAACAAAACACTAAGAACATGCTGTATTATTTCTGCTACATTTGGACAGCATGTTTTCTTGACTCTAGTGTGATCCCAAGTGTGGACACAATTACCTCTATGCAGTGGTAAGATAGCCATGTACATCTGCACAGTACTCTTATGCCTGGGGAGGCTTTCTATTTGAGCGGAGGCCACTGAAAGCCTAATGCACACTGGCAGTGTAGAAGCTTTCACTAGCATTTTACAACGCATGTATCATGACACAAAGTATTATAAAGAGTTTACCTGTTAGCCTAGTCCCTAACTCAATGAGCATGTGGAATAAGGGTTCTTATATAAACTAAAACCAGTTAACATATAGACCGTATCCACCCACCTTCATATTTGTTTGCCTTCCCCAATATGCCCATATATTGGAGTATGGTGCTCAAGATGTAGAAGTGTGAATAAAGCTTTGATTGATTTAGAGGAATCTGTCTTTTTTGGGTCAAATAATCTCTAAAGAGATGTATGAAGGCTCTTGCTATGCAAAGAGAATACTGAAGTCAAATAGCGGTGCTCGAAGTGATGACACTGATGGTGTTGTGTGTTCCCACGATATGGATGGAACTAAAATTAGGGAAAAAACCATCTAAATTACCACTGGCCGTGCATAGCAGGTGGCTGCATGTCAGGTACGTTTCCATGATATGAATGGAAGGAATCACCAACACTCACAGAATGCAAATTTCTTGTTCATCTTTATTGAACATGCGTCACACTATGTCGCCCTGAGGACCCTGCGCGTCCCCAAAACATTGGCTTGTTCGACGCATGTAACACATATTCAATAAAAATGAACAAGAAATTTGAATTCGGTGAGTGCTATGCAATGCCAGTGGTAGTTTCTATGGTTTTTTTTCCTAATATTTGTTTAAGGGTGTCAGGTTTCTAGAAGTCTCTGCAGTCAATAATTTGGATGTGGCTACACCTGGAATAACATATGTACATTTTGGAAGTCCTGTAGAGCCTTGGTTCTCAAGTGGTGGATCATGACCCAAAAGTGGGTCGCGACACCATGTTCATGTTCCACTTTTCTAGGTAAGAGACTCCTCAGCCTTTCACTGTCAGTTCTCGCGCTGAGCAGCCATTCAAAATATGCTGCCCGGTCCTGCTGTCAGCTTGAGGTGGGGTGGGCTGGAAGTATGGTCATAAGGGAGCTCCATCCATATGTGCATTACTTACAGCTCCCATATGTGCCTTGTAGAGGTGCCTGGACTGGACTGACGTCACATTCTGGCTCCTGGCACCTCTACAGGGCACACAAGGGAGCTGTACAAACAATGCACATATGGATAGAGCTCCATCACAGCACAGCATCCCACACTGGACCCCAAGCTGAGGATCCACTCCAGTTATCATAAGGTATGGAGACTGGGTGGATCTTAAAATAAAGAAAAAAAAATATATAATTTTTTTTTGGAGTGTGTATGTGTGTGAATGTCTGTGAGTGTGAGATTGTGTCTGTGGTTGTGTGTGTATGTCAGTGTTTGAGGGTCCATTCACACTAGTACAGTGCGTTAATCACACAGTCCCATGCGATTAATGCACTGTACCACGCAATTGCATCTACTGCGCGTTCTGGTGTGGAAGGTGTGTTGCGTTGCCATTAATTTGAATGATACCCCAAACGCACCTCCCGCCCACAGTCCGATTGCCTGCACCCGAACGCCCGGTACTGCAGTGCCGTGCATTCTATTGCAGTGCGACTTGGGTCGTGACTTAATGACCAAGGACAAACGTGGGTCCTGAGAACCACTGCTGTTAGCTTAATATTAACAAAACTGATCTCCATGTACCTAGTCTAAAATGCAGTTAACAACAAACCTTTATACTGTTAAGCTCCTTCGACAAACTTGCCACTTTCTCTTCAAGTTCATTATTTTTAGCTTGAGGTGCATGGTCACCAGGTGCTGCTGCTGTAGCCTGTGAAGACAAAACAGGAAATCTGTAAACACAATAAGAGCTATAGATTTAACCTGCTAAATGTTTGTAGAAGTATAAAAAGGGAAAGTATGAAATTGTTAATTGCATGCATATTTTCCCTTTTTCCTCATCGCCATTTTTTCTGTCCACTAAGTTTTACATTTTAGGTTTTTGCCTCAGCGTAACCAGATACACAGATATTATGCTGTCTCTAAATCACAGTATTGTAAAGTCTTTCCATCAGCTCAGTGAACATGAAATGTATGACATACAGGCTTATTAGGTAAAGCAGTGGAAAGATCAACTGTAATGTGAAAAGTGAAGTAACCCATACCAGACAATGAGAAATCCCTCTGTCTTACCAAATAAGCCCAACAGTCTGCTTCATGGTGGGCACTTGTCACCCTGAGAAGCATGGTTGTAAACCAATCCTTGGGATAAAAGATCTACACTATCTTGGAGAGCCCATAGAGTTAGGAGTTTTACCTGTAGAAGGAAGACCTTGGAGACAGCAGTATCTAGCACAAGGTCTAGATACTCCATAGATACTCCAAGAAATGGGTGCTCTTGTCCCAGTGACATCCTCAATAAAGTTGTCCAGGGATTCGCCAAAGAGGTATTCTCCAACAGAGGGCATATGAAATAGGCTTTTACTGTAGTTGCACCAATGTCCTGCAGACCAACATTTGAGCCAAAGGTTCCTACACATATGCACCAAAAGGAGACACATTCTGGGCATTAGGTGTATTAATACCTGCCAGCCCACAGTAGAGTAAGGTCATAGGCATGAGGCAGAGCAGATGGAGGACAGAGGGATTAGTTAAGACACATCCAGGATTTGACGACATATCCTTGGACCAGACAGCCAGACTTTGGCAGAGGGACATGGAAGCAATGGTGGGTTGCAGGGCAGGGTCTGCGAGGGAGAATAAAGCTGTGGAAAGGCTTCTAGCCTTTTATCCAGTGGATCTTTAAACACCAGGATGTCCTCTACAGTCTTGTAAAGACTAGAAATGGCCATATCCATCATGGGGAGATCCCACTTTAAAAAATAAAGTTTTTCTAAGCAATATCCTATTTAAAAAAAAAAATGTTTTAAGGGTAAGGCCAATTACTATACAAAAAAGGTTGCAATAGTTAAGTGTACAGGAAAGGTTTTAAAGGCTGGTAGGTAGGCTAACGAAGGCTGTTTCTGGTCAAGTGATTTGTGAACTGTCAATAGGACCAAAGTGGTATACTTAAGTTTGGGAGTTATGTCAGCAGACTGAGACTCCTCACGTATCAAGTCATCAAAACACAAATAAGGTGTATTCCTCTTTATCCTCAGCTGACAGTGCAGAAGCAGCTGCAGCTACAGGGAAACCAGAGATGGACTCTGGAGGGGAGGGCATGAAAGCATGCTTGCAGCCCCTGCATCCCGTGTCAGCTAACACTCGAGATTTTTCCCTATGAACACAGACATGGTAGTATTAAATTCCTCCCAAGACAAAACGGGGGGCACACCTAAGGGGATTATGGAGGCCTAAGAAGTGTTCAGGCAGGGGCAAGGTTCCAGACTTAGTGTCAGACCCTTTAGCAGAATCCCCCCAGAACTGCTAGTGGATTGTAAGCTGGCAAGGCCTGCAGGACCACTGCCTTAGTGCTTCTGATCAGTCATACTCTGTATACAAGTGATGGATTTTCCCAAAGGGAGCACACACAAGACCCTATGGGAGCAGGATGAGGTATTGCCCACTTTACTGTGACTAGAAGGCAGATGGGAGTCTAGAGGAAGGTCCAGAGCAAAATAGCATGGGTGTGGCTGAGGAGATGGCAGGAAGGCAGTCCGCTAGCCAAAAAAAGGCTGTGCAGTCTCAGTGGAGCGCATCAGTCTGTATGCAAACGTGGACAAACATGGTGTCAAATTCAAACATGGTGCTGTGCCTCTCCCCGTCACTGGCTTGTGACCAAAGGTGTCACAGCTACCGCTCCAGTGTGAATTCTATAAGTCACAAAAGCACTGACCAGGGCAGTAAAAGCACACACCAAGCCCCCAGAAGGAACGAAGCCCTGACTTACCGTAGTGGCATTTTAAGATGCCCTGCAGTCCTCACCATGTAAAATAGGGAACATGTAGACAAGCAGGGAACATGCCCCATCCAAAAGGTCTTTGCCTTTCCACTGGGCTTACACCCTAGGCATTCTACAGGGACAGGGCTCCACATTGGCTGCACTTCAGCCCTGGACCTGTAAATCACTCTGCAATTACCATACAGACTACACCAAGAGTGTACCTCCAGCAGAGTCCAGTGCTCAAGGACTAAGTGTATTTGTATTTTATATACAATCATCCGCCACTTTATTAGGTACACCTTGCTAGTACCGAGTTGGACCCCCTTTTGCCTTCAGAACTGCCTTAATTCTTTGTGGTATAGATTCAACAAGGTGTTGGAAACATGCCTCAGAGATTTTGGTCCATATTGACACGATAGCATCACGGGCCCAAAGTGTGCCAAGAAAATATAACAAACACCATTACACCACCACCACCAGTCTGAACCATTGATACAAGGCATGATGGATCCATGCTTTCATGTTGCCAAATTCTGACCCTACCATCTGAATGTCACAGCTGAAATCGAGACTCATCAAACCAGGCAACGTTTTTCCTATCTTCTATTTTCCAATTTTGGTGAGCCTGTGAGAATTATAGCCTGCGTTTCCTGTTCTTAGCGGACAGGAGTGGCACCCGGTATGGTCTTCTGCTGCACGGTTCGACGTGTTGTGCATTCAGCGATGCTCTTCTGCATACCTCGGTTGTAACGAATGGTTATTTGCTACTGTTACTGTTGCCTTTCTATCATCTCGAACCAGTCTGCCCATTCTCCTCTAAACCTGACATCAAGGCATTTTCGTCCACACAACTGCCGCTCACTGGATATTTTCTCTTTTTCTGACAATTCTCTGTAAACCCTAGAGATGGCTGTGCGTGAAAATCCCAGCAGATCAGCAGTCTTTTAAATACTCACTTTCCAATTACCATACAGACTACACCAAGAGTGTCTAAGAGAGCACCTCCAGCAGAGTCCAGTGCTCGAAGACACATTGCAAGTTGGCCTTTCTTCTTCCTCACAGCAGGGTCTGGGTATGGTGTCCAAGGCTGTGCTGAGGATCAGCCAATCTGGAAAGCTGGACCATAAGCACCAGTTGCTCTGTAGCTGAGTGAAGAATGTTGCTAGTAGAAAAAGGAATTGTGATAAAAAGAAAAGATAGAAAAAGACTTGCTTCTCCCAGAGGAGAGAAGACATCTGTTATTCTAAGGACACTAGCAAAATGCTGAGGCAAAGTGGGAATGGGAGGCGTTATACTAGGCAGTCTTTTGTTTGCCACTGTCCAAACTTCAGAAAGGCAGCTGCATGACTCAAATGTACCTGAATTACATCCTGTGTCCCTTATGTCTTAATAATAATTAAGAAATGATCTTTTGGACAAATTTAGATACATGGCTTATAGACCACTTACATTTGCTTCTATTTTTTGCAGGAGTTCCATCCTTTCTGTTTGTAGTCTGTTGATTTCTGATGACTGAACGTATAGCTGAGATCTTAGTGTTTCTATATCCTGCAATCAAATGAGAAAACAAGTTACATCTCCCTGTCATTTGAATATAAGCAGACCTTTATTTACTAAAGGCAAATATTTAATTACAAGTTTAACTTGTTAGCACCTCTTGATTGAAAGCAGGCCAATATATAGGATAGTGTTTTAAACTTGTTGCCAACTGAAGGGCTGCTGTAGGGGCTATTCACTATAGCCCGTACAGCAGCCGAGCGGCTCTGCCGAGCCAAAGGCATATGTTTCAGCTTGACTGAGCCGAAGTAACACCCGAAGCGGGGCAAACAGCCTGCCGCAAATGACAGCTGGGCGGAGCCAGCCGTGCTCTGACAGCTGGCTCCACCCAGTTGTAATGACAGATCAGTGTCCCTAAATGACCTGTTGTCATTAAACAACAACTTGGCAGAGACGGTCGTGATGTCACGTCCAGCTCCACCCAATTGTCATTCATTGGCCGGCACCTGCTAGAATTTTTTTTAAATTATTTTTTTATTAAAATATCTTTAGTTATATTTGAATTTCACTATTTATGAACATCATTAAAAAATATTTTTTTACCCTACGATTTTCTATTCTGCTCCTCGGTACCACAGAGGTACCAAGCAAAATAGCCGAGCCGAATGCTGCTCGGCCCCATTCAGCTATTCACTCCCTGCCGTTCGGCCCCTATGTGAATAAGGGCGAACGGCAGCGAGTGAGCTGATCCAGATGTTGGATTGGCTGAGTCAAGTCCTTCTGCACTTCGGCTCAGCCGAACATGCAAAGGATGTTCTACTGACCGAAGTGCAGCCAAAGGCAGCCGATGTACGGCTGAAATCACCAGTACAAGCCAGAAGTGAATAGCCGAACTTAGTTCGGCTCACTTCGGCTGGGTTATTCACTCGGTTTGTGAATAACCCCCTTAGTTCAGTTAAGAAAATGAATGATACAATTTGGAGCAGTTGCTCATTGTAACCAATCAGCTTCTGTCTGATCCAGTTCTGATAAATTACCCACTGTTATTAATAATTGTTTGCGCATCAAATTTCTGTTTTGCTCAGATCGACCTCCCCCTACTTATGCTGACATTGATATCAAGGTATGGAAATAGACTCAATATAATTTTATTATAAACCCCTTTTTAAATGGATAGGGACATCTTGGCATCTCCTTCAGCCCTCTCCCCAGATATAGGATATTTTAAGCAAAAGCATTGAAAAGGTATTTGTACTTGTGGAGAAAGGGGCACCGAGACAAGCCAGGGCATGTCTGCTGTTTCTCTCCATTGTAGCCTCCCCAGAACAAAGGATACATGAGGGGGGAGGGGGGTGGGGGTTAGTTGCTCAGCAACAGCCTGTGTACTTCCCCTTCCCTCCCCTCTCATGCCGGCCCCTCCCGGGACCTTTGTAAGTGTTGGTGGGAAGGCTGCATGCTCGCTTCCTCGCTGACTGGTGGACTAGAAGCTGCGCTGAGGCCGGTCTCTGTCTGTGGATTCAAAAGGATACGGACTTAACCCTGCCTGTTCTGCTCCACTGCTGCTGTGAGGACTGCTGGGATCTGTTGTTCTACTCGTACTGGATGTACTCACACGGTGCCTTGTTACCTGTTGGATTACCTCTTGCTGCACCTCTGACCCCTGGACTACTAGCATTGTGACTCTGGACTTATTCCTTCCTTGGTCCGTTGCCTACCTTCCGGTCTGACCCTCCCCGTGGCCTGCAACCCCCCAGGACCTAACCTTTGTACCTTGATTTGTATACCTGAATTCCCCAATAAACACCCCACACGCCGGGTTCCGTGTGATTTGCCTCTGTGTATTCTCACTGGGCTCCTAGTTCGTCACAGTACTGATTATTATTTTTATATACATATAATAACCCCTGTTGTCTCCAAAGTACACCGTTGGTTTAAGAAATGCATAGAGAGTTATCCATCTTCCCATAACCTATCTCTATTCTAAATTGTGGAATGTGTTGGTCTTCATGATTATGATAACATGAAGATAGGCATGGTGGGTCAGAAGAGGCTATGAATTATGTAATGAGCAAGCAAACATTAACACCTAATGCTTATTTTAAGCAAGTTTTGTAATAACGTATTTAACAGTAATATCTGATTTATTATATAGATTTAATAATGTGGTCCTCACAGAGGCATATAGAAACCAGAAAAAAGATTTCGTCTCGATTTTGAAGGCAGGTTTTTCTAAAATGATCATGGTATTATGCTAGGTGGCCATTTGAGACACAAACAGTACTACTGATTATTTTCCCTCCTAAATGCCATTAGACAATAACGTAGCTGAGAAACATAACTGAGAAAACTGAAGCAAATGTAATGTGCTTCTACCTTTTGTAGCTCTGTAGCTTGTTCAGATCCTTCCGTAATTTGCTCTGTCTGACTACCAGCTTGACTGCTCTAAAAAAACATAAGAATAAGATAAATGATACATATTTCATGGGCTTAATCCAACATTATTTAACACAGGTTATGAATGGTTATGCATAAAAACATGACCACAAATCATTTCACTTCCTTAAACATAGGCAATGAGTCTAAAGTATGTCCTTGGTTTACCAGACAAACAAAATAAATAGAAAGAACTTTTGTTTGTTGTTGTATTTATTATACCCAGGACTACAAAATAACATTTGTTATAGTAGATTTTTATAATAAATACATTTTATATTTGCGTCTTTTTTTTCACCCATTACCTAAACCTATGACTACAGATTTTATACCCCTTGGTTTTGCAGACAAATACATTTATCACTATTTATGACAACAAATAATTTGTATGTATTTTTGAGGACAAATACAACTTTTCTTCTGTTTTTGCCTTACAAAAATACTTTATATTTGCAGTAATTGCTTGCAGTGATCAAACACAACATAAGTGAACAAAACGTTCTGCAAATCATTGTTAAAATGTTAGTATTGGTCCTTGATATTTATTCTTACATAGAAGTAAAGCTCCTCTTTATTAAACTGTGAAATGTGTGTACAGTGGCAGGCAAAACTGACAACACTACACTCAATAAGAAGTACACAAATAAATTCTTTTATATTTCATTAAAAAAATGGGTAATTTGTTGTGTTTTGGGGCATTTAATTAAATTTGTCACTAAATTTTGGGGTTTAATAAGGAGTTGCGCTAATATTGCGCAACATAAAAATTTTCAACTACCACCATTTTATTCTATAGGGTCTTGGCATTCAGAAAATATATAATGTTGGGGGGTTTTACGTCATTTTCAGGCCTAAAATGTGGAATATAACATGGGTGCAAAAATGGAAAAAAGGGCCTCAGTCATGAAGGGGTTAACCACTTTACCAGATTCTGTATGAGGGTGTTTTTCTCTGCCAGCTCTCCTTTCAGTAAATCCTGTTGTTTTTTCAATTCTTCAATTTCCTCTTTCAATCGACTGACCTCTTCTGGTTGGAAGCCATTAACCTGTGCACCACTACTGTGGGCGTTATGATGCTGGTTATCTTTTCCTATTCAGAAAAACAAGCAAATGTAGTGACTTAACCTGCAATGTAACGCGCTGTGTAACAAATACTCACAAAAATGTCTACAAAACCAAAGGTCAGTGAGGACACTAAAAAAAAAACCAAAGTTTTCTTGTGTTTTACATTCTCTCCACCTATGGCCTACAATGAAGTTTGATAAAACAAAAGCAATGGTAAATAATTGATGTGCTTTCCGTATACATATGTCCTATTCCTGGCTGACCTGTGCAAAAAAATGAAACAGACTTTGTGTGGAATGGAACGTGAAATGAAGTGGGTTAGAACCTTTATGAGAGATCTGCTGCTTTATGTGTCCCTACTTGGGTGAAAGTAAGGGCAAATATCCCCAACATGGACAGATGTTACATAAAAAAAAAAAAAAAACTGACATTGGTCCTCTACTCTTTCCAACAAATGCTTTGGCTGTAGCTCAGCTTTAAAGTGTAAGCTCAACAGATCACTTCTGAGTAACTTCACATGTGTGGAGGGATTTGCTATTCCTATGCAAGCTTTCGTTTCCTCATTTGATCCTGCCAGTAAGGGACTTCCTGCTCTAGGGAGACTCAAGTGTGGCTATGCAGGGCTCTTCCACTCCTTCCGTGGGATCCAAGTTGACTTACAAGCGCATAACACGTCTGTATAATAAGCTAGAGTCCCATATGTGAGACCTGCCAATCCAACTCATTCTCAGTAATGCTCAGGGTCTGAAAAAGTGACAGCAGCTGCTAGATAGGGGAAATCAGCTGCAATCACCATCCTGGATTCACTTGATAGTGAGGATGCAATCTTCATTAATAAAAAGAGAAAAGCTAATCTGCTGGTCCTCCACAATTCCAATAACTAGAGGGAACAGCAGACATAACATCCCTCATACATGCCTGCACCCTACAAGGCATCCCAAGGCATCGTGGGATATGTAGTCCTAGCCAAAATGGAAATGTAACTGCAAAGAGATGTGCACCCACAGCTAGGATGCAAGTGCACAATCAGGAAGAGGCCAAAGGGAGTCATAGAGCCATGCACATATTTCAAGCAATGAGAAAGAGAGTATAAAATCAGATTGTTGCACTTATTACTCCTTATTTAAAATTGACTTTAATAACCACAAGGTAAGCCACATACAAATGATAAACATAATACATACAGATGTTGATGTCTTTAGCTTAGCATTAATGCTGAAAATGTATACACACAGAGTATACCCTGACATGAAATAAAGTGAATGCAAACAGAATACACATTAGTGACAAGAGTATGTATGGTATGTAGCCTTTTTTGAGAAAGACCACCCAAAGAAAGAAGGGAACAGGGGCACACCACAACAGGAAGACAGAGAAATCACTTAAAATCTTACAGAAGTTCCTTTTTCTACTCCACTAAAAACTGTTTTTGTTGTTGTATCTGTCCCCTTTAGAGAGATTTCCTATCACTTCCTGTCAGTCTGTATGGAAAATTTCCCCAATAGGGACACAGTAATAAAAACATGTCAGTGGACCTAATCTTTCCCCACTCTACTGAACAACAAAAATATATTAAAGAACTCCAGCCAGAAATATTCTTACCTTTGCAGTGGGGCTACCCTCGCAGTGCAAGGGTTAAATGTGCATGTCTAGGGTGTAAACATTTTTTTTTAAAAAAGGGATAAACCCACCCAAGCCTCAGATTCGGCTGGCTGCTACACCGGTCCCTGAAGCCTCTCTGCTCCACTTCAGCAATGGAATGTCTCTCAGCGTCAAATACACTGTATATCTATGTTATTCGTAATTTTACCCCCTAGACGAAATGAGCACTTAACCCTTGCAAAGAGGGGGTAGCACCACTGCAAGGGTTAAGATTTCTGCCTGGGGTTCTTCTTTAAAGCATAAACAAGAAAAATCTATGAGCAAAATAAATACAAAATGAGAAAGGCAACCTCAATACTAAACAAAGTCATCCAGAAATAAACAGAATGATTTAAACTAAGGCTAGTCATACACTGATCATCTTTGCTCATTCAGAAATTGTGGAAAGAAATGCTGGATTCCCTCATCCATGCTAAACAGGGAGTCAGAATACCCAAACACTGACTGCAAGTAATTGGCTGAGAGTTTTCGGATCGGCTCCTTCGACCAAATTAGATTTAAAAATGGACATTTGGCAAATGGGAAGGAGATCACTGCTGAATGGATAGTGTATGTCCAGCTTTAGTCTAATGTATTGCAAACCTTTGAGAATGTACTTCCAGATTGCCATAAATGTTACCCCACATTTATCAGTAACTCATCATTTTTTGTTCAGAATCTAAGGAATGTATATTCAAAATCGGAGTGTGGAACTGAAACATAACAAGTAACAAATAAAAGAGATGAAATGCTCTCATACCTAGTTGTACCTTCAGAAGATTGTACTGATCCTTGTGTTGCTGAATTTGGGCGAGCTGCTGTGAGACTGTAGTTTGGAACTGTTCATTCTTCGCTTGTAAAGTAGAAACAGATTGCTTCAGCTCATCCAGCTGAATGTCCTGCAAATTGTATATCAAGAGGAAATCGTTATCTATCAATCTGGAGTGAGATAGCTGTGGCTATGATCTGTACCTTAAGGATAACAGTAGCCTTCCGGGTTCAAGCAAAACTCCAGGCAGTGTATGAAAAAATAAAAAAATCCAGTTATATAACCATAAAAAACCCCCATAAAAATGTATTGTGTAGAAGTTAGGCTTCTGAAATCCACCGAAAAAAGTCCGGCTGCAGCCCATTACTAAGCCCATTGTTGGGTGAAACATGTCGGAATGAGGAGGATCTACGCTGGGACAACGTGTACCTGTGTGCTACAGTGAACTTTTCAGTGATGCCTGCAGTGTGCGACCGGACTTTTTTCTGTGGGTGGATCGGGATGGGCTTGGCCGGGGTGCACCTGCCATTCTCTCTGATGCTGCGGTGGAGGAGGATTGATATTGGCCTATGGAAGTTAGTTCTGAAATCCATTGTACTGATCTCAGATCGGGAAGGGAAGGAAGGGCCAGCTCTAGAAGCTAGACAGGTGTGTTGTAGTATACATGTGTTGACAGGGAACATTCTGACAGCAAAAAAGAGAGGAACTCATCAGTGTGTTATCCATGTGATGACCAGTATGCTTTACCAAGCTGTGCTGCTACTGTAAAAATCACGGGTGTATGGCTATGCTGCTTTCTGGCAGGGGATGCACTGTATGTCATTTACAATATGTACAATGCAGTGA